TTTGTGAAAAAATAAATTTTTTTTGTTTGGAAAGATTAGTTTTTTTTTTAATTGAATTCAACGAACGTCTCAAGTTTTAAGATTATTACTTTTGGATTATTATCCAAATTAATTTTGCTAAAATTATTAACCTGAGATTTAATTCCTGAATAAATTTGTAAAAGTTATTGATTCTGGAGTTTTAGTATCATAAAGTCAGGCCTACTCTGAATTAATAAAAACTTGGCTGATAGGATAATGAGATGAATTATGGATAAGAATCGAGAGCACCCTGAATAAGCTTGAATATTTTATAAGAGTACTAATCACGCGGACCGATGAAGATGATGAGAACGCATCAGCGATGAAAGAATCGCAAATAATCGAATAATAGAACCGACGGTTATTGTAATAACAGTCTCCAGTCGCTCCTGTCTTTCTGACCCCCTTCTACCTTTCTCTTTAGACCCCTTTATTATTTTCCTTTTGCGTCGTCAAAACATCGTCAAAAATAACATCATTATCCGTCCATCCATAGTGCGTTGAAAATTTAAATGTCTATCGAATTTCTAAAAAATGTGCTATAATTTATCATTAACACTACTGTTAATAATAATTATTATAATATTATTCCTCATATTTTATTAAAAATACTAGATGGAAATTGTGATCCTTTTGAAATTAAAAATTGTCTTTGCAGTCGTGGAGCTTTTCCTTGCTAATGTCATTCTTTCTAATGTCTCAATTCATTTAATTCAATTCTCACATAAGACAAGTGCAAATTAAAAGAGAATTATTTCTGTAATACCGTTGTGTTAAAGTAAATTAAAATTTATCTTTCAAATGCTAGAAATTTTAATGATCGCATATATTTAAAATAAGAGAATTTTCAAGTTTTTATATGTTAAAAACATCTTTTTAATTAACATAATAAGTTTATTGGATAATACAGATTGCAGGAGACGCCATTAGAGTTTCAAACGTAATTGATAACTTGACACATATGTATAACGAGCAGGTATTTACATGCAAACGCACAAGAATTATCAGAACGCGAGGGAAGTAGCACGAAAAACAATTCGATATATCTGCCCTCATCTATCTCTTCTCGGCGTAACATTCGGTTTATATGCCTGTTATCCGTGCGAGTATCAGCGGGATGTGGCATAATGACGTTAATGTTACCCCTCTCTCTGTCTAGTTACTCTTATCTAATTATTCTGCCCATCATTAATGTTACGCGCGCTGCGCCTTACGTTAAAGTAGTCGCGTGGAATTTCCCATGCGCCTGATTTTTTTTTTGTGCTAACACGTCAGTTTGTTTATATAAATCGGCAAATGAAGCATTAGCACGTGCGTGACCGTCACGTCTTGATTTGATTTCCCTCATTTCTTTGAAAAGATTATATCGTTTTTCGAATTTCCGCGCGCTAATAATCGCACTAATAACACGTATTTTCAATCATCATCAGTCAAGTTCTCTTATACCTTTTTACAATTCTTTTATCTTTATTTTATATCTTTATCTTCTTTTTAATGCTCACATAAACACATACATATTAATTCGAATATTCTATCTAATATTTAAAACATCTATTTTAAAACTGATAGTTCTATTCTATTTTTATTTATATTTTCAGTATACAATTGTTAACTTGAATTTTCGTATAGTTATGATACCAAATACTTTTAAATAATTTAATATAATAAAATAGTAACATTGGATTTATTAAGAATAAATAAATATACAAAAGAATTATAACTATACATAACACTATAAATAAACAGATCGATATGTTTTAAATTTAAAACATAAATTTAAATTTAAATGTCTTTAATTATTTGTATAAATAATTATGAAGTAAATGTATACGATAAATTCTATTTGATAGATTGGTATTTGCTTGAATTCTTCAATCTATCAAATATATTATATTCATAAAAAAAAAAAAAAGATGAGTTTGATAGAAGTTGATACTACAGTTGATACCATTATCTTTTAATATACATTAAATAATTTTATATACATATATACTATTAATTCTGAGTTATTCTGAGCATCAAAAATCATTATCTCATAAACGTTTAGAGAAATATA